AGCAGGTGTTGTTAAAAGTAAAGAAAGGGTCGATTGAGACACTTTCTATGGTACCTATAGGTAGGGGTCATATCATCAGGTGATGTTACAAGTAAAGAAAGGGTCGATAGAGACACTTTCTATGAGGCCTATAGGGAGTGGTTATATCAGCAGGTGATGTTACAAGTAAATAAAAGGACAGATAGAGACATTTTCTATGGTGCCTTTAGTGAGGGAACATATCAGCAGGTGATGTTATAAGTAAAGAAAGAACCGATAGCGACACTTTCTATGGTGCCTATAGGGAGGGGTCATATCAGCGGGTGATGTTACAAGTAAACAAAGGACCGATAGAGACGCTTTCTATGGTGCCTTTAGTGAGGGATCTTATCAGTAGGTGATGTTATAAGTAAAGAAAGAACCGATAGAGACACTTGCCAAGATGCCTATAGGGAGGGGTCATATCAGCAGGTGATGTTATAAGTAAAGAAATGGGAGATCGAGACACTTTCTATGGTGCCAACAGGGAGTTGTCATATCAGCAGGGGATGTTTTAAGTAATGAAAGAGCCGATAGATACACGTTCTATGCATATTATAAGTAAAGACAGGGCCGATAGAGACACTTTCTATGGTTCACCTTTCACAAGAAAATTACCAAAGGAATTGAGTATAATTATACAACATAATCAACATGTTTAATGCAAAGATTTTTTTTCATCAGATTTACACCATGATGTCATCTTCAATCATTCTTTATCTCATAATTAGAGCAAATTCCTTCAAGACCCCTTCTTTATAATTTAGAGATGATATTTGCGTTAAATTTAAACTTTTAATATAAATTATTTAAAGATCTGGCAAAAATCGTACACGTGATAGCGCTTACAAATTCGAATATTCCAAAGGGGCATAATTCTTTTAAAAATAATTGATCGACACAGATTTTCAAACTTGTCAGCGACAATGTTGATATAAACCTAATACAATGTATGTAAGTTTTATAAAACATCTGGCAAAAAATTATACGTGAGAGCTAACAAGACCGGACGGAAGGAAGGACGGACGCCCTGTATTTTTATGTCCCAAACAACGCATCGCGCGGGGATAAAAAAACCAACGAGATCTTAAAATCATTTTAATTTTAGATTCAAATTAATTAGCACTTTGGTCTTCGAGTATGGGTATGCTTTTGGTGTTATGAGTTTTACATGATGTACAGGTAAAGCTGATAAAAAACGCACCGTTTCACAACTAACAGAATGTTTAACCTTTTTTGACGGCTGCATCAAATGTGTCTTTTGGACACAATTATTTCAAATTGTATTGTATCGTCCCGAAAAAGGATGAAATATTTGCCACTGGACGTTAAGCAACCATCAATAATTCAATTCAAATTGTACTTCAACATCACTGTTTCCCAAATCAAATTTTTGAAGCACTTTATTTTATTCATGCATGGACCCATCGGTGATATCACCATTTTCTAGTTTGGAAGGGTTACATTGAAGATTCGGTTTTGAAAAGCTAAAAGTGCACCCATTTAGGAGTAAGGACGAAATAAAATTAACTCAGTCTAATATTATATTGAATTATTAGGAAATTTAGGACAGGGGATGAAAATAAAACAAAAACACCATTCAGATCCCGCTACATATTTTTTATTTCAATACCTCTGAATAAAAATAATGTTATTCTGTATTCACAAACGTCACACATTTTCTGTCAAATTCTAAGCGTATCTGTCAACTTTGAAGCAATGTATCTAATAAAAAAACAAGGATGGGCTTAATATGTGTTTCTTACATGCATGGATATAGTATACAATCCTGGGTATTATGTTAGTTTTAGTCTTTCTCCGTATATAAGAACATAGCCATCCATTGAATAATCTAAAAAAAAAAAATTAAAAAAAGGCATTTTCCCTATATTAATATGTAAATTTATCGCCAAAATTGACGTTTTCTTATAAATTACAAAAATTAAAAAAAAATGGAGACCCCCATTTTTTAATTCATATTCCGATGTAACTCGATTCAAAATACCAGTGTACCAAACATTTTAGAAATCGGGAGATATGCCATTTCGGTATCGTTTTACCTTAAGAACCCTTAAAAAAATTCTTTGAAGTGTCCTGAGGTGGACTGTTGCAAGGCTAAATTCCAGTTTCTCTATCCAATATTCCCTCAGTTTTCTAGTGGCATTCATTTCGACTAAAGACCTTCCTGTTGTATTCATTGTTGATTTGTTATCGTCTTGAGCATGCATGAAATATTTGACACTGGACGTAAAACAAACCACGACCAATAAATGTATCATTACTCCTAATATCAGTGTAAATTAAATATACTTCTTCTGCTAGTGCTGTTTGGGATATATGTAGAATTTTAGTACAATGAGTAATTGATTATATAAATTTTAATTGGTATACAAGAAAAAAATAAAGCAAATAAACACTGGTGATATAAAGGTTCCTCTATCAAAATATATGTAATGAAAATAAGTCATAATTGTATCTATTCATACAAATTTAAAAATACATTTACACCATGATGCCATTGATAGTAAAAGGATACCCTACCTTTATCATGATCACCATAAACGTGGTCAAATTTCAGAATGCCCCAACCCCAAAAAAATGAACTCTATCGTTTTGCATTAATCATAAAATCATTGCGTAAAATATATCAATTGTATGATTAACTTCTTTTAGTGGTATTCAAACAATAATCTTTAATTTTCAATTTAAAGAAATATAAGTTAATTTCCTGCTATAAGTTTAAATTATTTCATTTCACTTTTTTAAGTAACTTTGCAATGATTTTAAAATACATCTTTGATCATCATTGTTTTCCCAAATAATTTATGTACTCTTATTGTGACCTATAATATAGACAAAACTTTAAACAGTGTATTCCAAATTTTATAAACCATTTAAATTATACTTTCCTGCGATCTTATATAATTAATTTCTAGCTGTTATTAATCTTAATTAAATTAAGAAAGTAACATGATATTATTTTTCAATTTAAATTCGGTTAATGTACAAAGGGAAGCAACTTTAGTTGTTCTACATAGGGGCAAAATTGGCAGTGTCTAGACCCTTCTCATTCTGAATGGATGAAACTAACTTTTAACATAATCAGCTAGAAGTCGGCAAACTTTTTAGAAATTAGCTATTACTTGTTCATAAGTAAGGCTTCAAGTGGATCCAGGGTTGATATACGGATACTTCCGGGAAATGAATTATCATTGAGATGTCGTCTCCGTGTAACCGGAAATAGATTCTGCAGAGGCATTACTTTACGGACAACATTCAAGACATAATGTTGTCCTAAAAAATCAAAACGTCCAAAATGAATTCTCCTGTATTATGTTAAGAATTCATCGGGGAGGGTAGGTAAAAATTCCATTGTGTCAGTGTTTAATTTGGTTCAAATTTCGTTTTCGCTGTCTAAATCAGTAATTTCGAATGAAGTGTTACAAAAAGGATTTTGCCACAACGAAGAAAGGTTATTTTGTCTTTTTGTGTTGTTTTTTCCATTAAATATATCGATACTAGTTGACGTTTACTGAACAGTAGTATTTTTTCCTCCATAATCTTTCTAAATTTACCATTTTTTATGACAAAAACCTGGACAAAACAGTTATGTGTGATATTAGTACTTTATTATTCTGTTTTAGAAATTAAAGTCAAATGGTGGCATGACCATCTTCGAACGGAGTTTATCAATAGTATCCATGGCCACCGTCATTTTACATCAAATTTATGAAAAATTGGAAGGCTTTTCGAATAATTTTCAAGAAAATGTTTTTAAGTGTTTCAAAATATCATATTGTAAATATATACACTGTAGTTATTCGTAAATAAATTAAAAAAAATAATATTATACCCTTACATCCAATCATGCACCGCTCTCCAAAGTTTACTTCCTACACCTGCCTCGGGTACACAAAGGCCAACCGAGAGCCCGGAAACTAGTTTTTCACCTGAAAGCAAGGCACCGAAATGCTAACCGATACAGTTTATTTTGCCTCATATATATTATGAGTTGAGTTGATAAAGTTTAGTGTAAACAATATTTTATTTTGAAAATAATAACGTAAACATTACAATATGACAGGATTGGAAAACAAGTGAATTTTCACTTTTACAAATTCCTCTCCCATATGATATAATAATAGATGGATGGCGTCAGAAATGTGTTTTTAACTGAAATAAGAAGTATTTGTTGACCAAATTCACAACTGAACAACAGTGCTATCAAACTACACAGGTATAAATATAAATATAAATTAACGACAATTTATTTTATACATAATTATATATCTCAATGCATGTATATGAAATTCACACGAATCTCTTTGTTTTAAGAATAAAATCTTGAATAATGAGAAAGTTATCAGAATTCTCAATGTCGGACACCAAAGGATTACCATACAGTAAGTTATGTATATTAGGCTGACATGACAAGTTACTCAGCATAAACTCTCTAAGTAATTGGTATTGCGGACAACGCAATAAAAAGTGTTCAGATGTTTCAATCTGTCTACATTTACAAAAAGGATCAGTAACTAAATTTTTTCTATACAAATGTTCTTTCAGACCACTGCTCTCAGTTCTAATTCTAGCGTGCAAAATTAAAGTTTCATGTAAGATAACAATTGACGTTTTAAATCCCGCTGTAACTAGTTTTAATATGTGTGTTTATTCTAGATTCACAGCGAAATTTCAAAGTATTGTTAGTAGATAAACAAACATTTAAAACATATTAATTTGATAGATCTTCATTTGACTGAAACATAATGCTACTTATTCAAATCGTCTATTTACTTTTCTAAACATCCCCATTCGATTCGACTCTATAAAATTCATTATCAATACTTAAGATAATAGTGACCTTCTTGAACTTAAATGAATAATACATTGTATTAGGAGGCAAACGTAATGGTAATCAGTAGGTTAATCATATACGACACATTTACTTTATCTATGAATATATATATCTAGCTGTATGATAAATGGAGGGGAAAGTAGCGTTAGTTACGGGATCTACAAGTGGAATTGGTCTAGGGATTGCAAAGGAACTTCTTAAGAATGGGTGTGAAGTTATCTTGACTGGCTCAAGAAGTAAAGAAAATGCGACAACAGCTATCAAGGAAGCGAAGGCAAGGTAAACTTGTATGACATTAATGTTCTGTCCATTTCTTTAAGAGTCTTTTTTCATTTAACTAACTAGTGTTCGATCGATAGCATCTACTACTATAAAGGTTATTTCCTTATTGAAGTATGTGATTACTCTATATAGGTTATTCCTTATAGAAGTAAGTTATTACTCTATAAAGGTTATTTCTTTATAGAATTATGTGATTACTCTATAAAGGTTATTTCCTTATAGAAGTATGTGATTGTGCTCTATAAATGTTATTTCCTTATAGAAGTATATGATTGTGTTCTCTAAAGGTTATTTCCTTATAGAAGTATGTGATTGTGCTCTATAAATGTTATTTCCTTATAGAAGTATATGATTGTGCTCTCTAAAGGTTATTTACTTATATAAATAAGTATTTGATTAGTCTATAAAGGTTATTTCCTTATAGAAGTATATGATTGTGCTCTCTAAAGGTTATTTCCTTATATAAGTATTTGATTAGTCTATAAAGGTTATTTCCTTATAGAAGTGTGTGATTACTCTATAAAGGTTATTTCCTTATAGAAGTATATGATTGTGCTCTCTAAAGGTTATTTCCTTATAGAAGTATGTGATTGTGCTCTCTAAAGGTTATTTCCTTATATAAATTTGTGATTGCTCTATAAAGGTTATTTCCTTATAGAAGTATGTGATTGTGCTCTCTAAAGGTTATTTCCTTATAGAAGTATGTGATTGTGTTCTCTAAAGGTTATTTCCTTATAGAAGTATATGATTGTGCTCTCTAAAGGTTATTTCCTTATAGAAGCATGTGATTGTGCTCTCTAAAAGTTATTCCTTATAGAAGTATATAATTGTGCTCTCTAAAGGTTATTTCCTTATAGAAGTATATGATTGTGCTCTCTAAAGGTTATTTCCTTATAGAAGCATGTGATTTTGCTCTCTAAAGGTTATTTCCTTATAGAAGCATGTGATTGTGCTCTCTAAAGGTTATTTCCTTATAGAAGTATTTGATTACTCTTTAAAGGTTTTTTCCTTATATAAGTATTTGCTTACTCTATAAAGGCTTTCCATTACAAAATAGAAGTATGTGATCGTGCTCTATCTTAACAGTCCGTATCTTACGTTTGTTGTTCATTCTACTGATATTTCTTATCAAATAGTAAATATGTGATGATAATTTCAGTGGATCCGTTGTGCATTATATACAGTGTGATTTGTCCTGTCAGGTAGAATCCCTGTGTAATGAAGTAGATAAAATATATCCTGGTGGTATCGACATACTAGTCAACAATGCAGGTAATCAAACATCAATACATGTACAATAATATAAGCATTTTACATTATAAATTATTTACATAAGTTCATTGGGATAATTGTTGAGGAGAGAGCAGAAAAGTAATTCAAAAGTAAATCATTTTTCTGTTTCGAGAAACCAAAATTCATTTCAAGCTAGTTACACACATATTTTAAAGAAGGTTATTGCTTTTCTTTTCATTTCAAACCTTTCAGATATATAGCTTTAAATCACAATATTGATGTCATGTGTTAAATATTCTGTATAGGCTCCCATTTTGCTGCCATTTTTAAAATTACATTGTTTTAAGGTTAATACTTTTGAAATAAATGAAAATATATGAATTTCGTTTGGCACTAAAGTTCATCTTTCTTTTGTAAACACGAGGCCTCAGAAACAGATACGCTTTGTTTGCATCAGAATTAAATAAGGGATCTTGTTTCTTATTCTTCAATGTGAATCGGGCCTATTGATGACATATCAGTTTTCTAGTTAAGTTTCGGGATAATTTTGTCATGCGTAGCACTATTAGAAACACGCTATTATTCACTTAATCTAAAACCGTTTTTATCCTTTCTAATGCGTTCGATAGTGTTAGTAATTCTTTCGTGAACATTGCTGATCTAGTTTCGCTCATTCACGGAGTATTTCATCCTGAAGACGTGAACATTGCTGATCTAGTTACGTTCGTGCACGGAGTATTTCATCCTGAGGAAATACAAAATGTAAAGTAAGATGACATTACTATCACGAGATAACAACGTGTTGAGTAAATCGACTGTTCTCAATAATTCCGTTTTCAAAGAAACAAACACAATAAGGACGCACGGTGCATTTAACATAAATTAACAACAAGTAAAAAAGTAAGTGTCAAAGTGTGAATATATAGCTAAATATTTTGTGTTTTTTTATTTCATTAGGTATCAATTTTGTGAAATATATTGATGAATATCCAGTAGAAAAATGGAACGAGTTGATAGCAATCAATCTAACTGCTCCTTTCTTATTGATAAGGCATTGTTTGCCAAAAATGAAGAAAAAACGTAAGTTACTTTGAACTATTATTTTACAAACATTTATTCAACGATTTTTTTCCTTGAATGAACACAACATTTGAACAGTTTTAGTATTTGTATCCAAAAAAGTTGAACAGTAAAGTTATTTAATACTATATTTCCATTCTCAATTTTATTATAGATAATTATTATTCAAGAAGTGAAAATATATACAGAAACAGTAATTATATGACATTGTATCTTTCCAAAAAATATCTCGTCATGCCAACATGCAGTGGAAAGAATTCTATACCACAAAAAAAAAACATATTCCAAAATAATAATAATAAGCAAAACGGGATTTTTATATTTTTCCTACTTTATGCTGGACCATTCGTATATATAAATCATTAAGAACTAAAAAATCATATTGCAAATGTGCTATACTTGAAAATCCCTGTTTTCAATTCAGTAAAACATTTAATTACAGAACAGCTGTCATATATCTGACTGTAGATATGATCCATCTTTTTGGTCATTCACCACTGTCACTGGCCTTTTTTGTGATCCATCTTTTTGGTCATTCACCATTGTTGTTGGCCTTTTTTGTGATCCATCTTTTTGGTCATTCACCACTGTTGTTGGCCTTTTTTGTGATCCATCTTTTTGGTCATTCACCATTGTTGTTGGCCTTGTTTGTGATCCATCTTTTTGGTCATTCACCATTGTTGTTGGCCTTTTTTGTGATCCATCTTTTTGGTCATTCACCATTGTTGTTGGCCTTTTTTGTAATCCATCTTTTTGGTCATTCACCACTGTTGTTGGCCTTTTTTGTGATCCATCTTTTTGGTCATTCACCACAGTTGTTGGCCTTTTTTGTGATCCATCTTTTTGGTCATTCACCATTGTTGTTGGCCTTTTTTGTGATCCATCTTTTTGGTCATTCACCATTGTTGTTGGCCTTTTTTGTGATCCATCTTTTTGGTCATTCACCATTGTTGTTGGCCTTTTTTGTGATCCATCTTTTTGGTCATGCACTACTGTCATTGGCTTTTTTGTGATCTATATTTTTAGTCATGCAATACTTTCACTGACGTTTTTGTGATCCATCTATTTGGTCATGCACTGCTGTCATTGGCGTTTTTGTTATCCATCTTTTTAATCATGCACTACTGTCATTGGCGTTTTTGTTATCCATCTTTTTAATCATGCACTACTGTCATTGGCGTTTTTGTTATCCATCTTTTTAATTATGCACTACTGTCATTGGCGTTTTTGTGATCCATCTCTTTGGTCATGCACTGCTGTCATTGGCGTTTTTGGTATCCATCTTTTTTATCATGCAATACTGTCATTGGCGTTTTTATGATCCATAGTTTTGGTCATGCACTGCTCTCATTGGCGTTTTTGTGATTCATCTTTTTGGTCATGCACTACTGCCATTTGGCACTTTTTTATCCATATTTTTGGTCATGCTCTGCTGTCATTTGCCTTTTTGTGATCCATCTTTTTGGTCATGCACTACTGTCATTTGCGTTTTTTATCTATCTTTTTTGTTATGCACAGCTGTCATTGGCGTTGTTGTGATCATTAGTTTTGATTATGCACTTCTGTCATTGTCAATGTTTCCGTTACAAGTCAGGAATCTCTTCTTAGGTTTTCTTTGTTTCTTGTCGTTTGAGGAAATAGTTTTAACGGTAGATCGACAGTTGATTGTTCATTTTATTCCCATTTGCTCTATATCAGTATTTTAACGAAGAAGAACTTGACATATTGGACACTGATGTCTAAATGCCTGTATATTGTTGTTGGATTGTTGTTTCATTGACATATTGGACACTTTGTATTAATTAAAGCCGTATATTGATGTCTAAATGCCTGTATATTGTTGTTGGATTGTTGTTTCATTGACATATTGGACACTTTGTATTATTTAAAGCCGTATATTGATGTCTAAATGCCTGTATATTGTTGTTGGATTGTTGTTTCATTGACATATTGAACACTTTGTATTAATTAAAGCCGTATATTGATGTCTAACTGCCTGTTACAGTACATTGTTGTTGAATTGTTGTTTCATTGACATATTGGACACTTTGTATTAGTTAAGGCCGTATATTGATGTCTAAATGTCTGTACATTGCTGTTTGATTGTTTTTTCATTGACATATTGGACACTTTGTATTAGTTAAGGCCGTATATTGATGGCTAAATGCCTGTATGTTGTTGTTGGATTGTTGTTTCATTGACATATTGGGCACTTTGTATTGATTAAAGCCGTATATTGATGTCTAAATGCCTGTACATTGTTGCTGGATTGTTGTTTCATTGACATATTGGACACTTTGTATTAATTAAGGCCGTATATTGATGTCTAAATGCCTGTACATTGTTGTTGGATTGTTGTTTCGTTCACATATTGGACACTTTGTATTAGTTAAGGCCGTGTATTGATGTCTAAATGCCTGTACATTGTTGTTGGATTGTTGTTTCATTGACATATTGGACACTTTGTATTGATGAAAGTCGTATATTGATGTCTAAATGCCTGTATGTTGCTGTTGGATTGTTGTTTCATTGATATATTAATAGAAATAAGAAAATATGGTACGAGTGCCAATGAGACAACATTCCATCCAAATCACAAAAAGTTAACAATTATAGGCCAAAGTACGGCCTTCAAAACGGAGCCTTAGCACACCGAACAGCAAGCTATACAGGACCCCAAAATGACTAGTGTAAAACAATTCAAACAGGAAAACCAACGGTCTAATCACATGAAAAACAAGAAACGAGATACACTTAAGAACCACATCAACAAACGACAACCACTGAAACAGGTTCCTGACTTAGGACAGTTGCAAACAAATGCAGCGGGTTTAAATGTTTTAACAGGCGCCAACCTTCACCCTAATCTGAAGTAGTAGTGTAACATTACAACATAAAAAAATATCAACTGAAATGGCTTAAATCAATCAAAAAGACATATTAACAAAAACAAGTAAACATACACTGAACGAATAAATTTGATCTATGACCCAATGTCAAAAAGACAACTATAACCTTGGACAAAATGGCGTTAAATAAAATAACGTACACAGGTAAATTAAAATATAATTTTGTTGTTAGGAGTACGGAGATATTTTTTTACAAAATAAATAAATTTGTTGTTCATAGTACGAGAGCAGCACTGAAAATTTATCGTCATACTAAATACTTATTAAAGGTGGTACATATTAAAAATAGTGAGACGAGATATAACACAAAATAAGTAAACATTGAATAACAAAAATGCATTACAAATTGTGTAACAGGTCAAATTAACACGAAAGTACGATTTGAGAGTACTCGCAGTTACTGAAAGCTAGTAAATGCCTGTATTTTGATGTTGGATTGATGTTTCATTGACATATACTCCTCACATTCTTTTATTCATTTCATTAATATAATATAATATAATAGTGATTTAATTATTGTCTACATTACAGATTGGGGAAGAATAATCAATATATCGTCCGTGCAGGGCACAATTAGTGCACCAGGAAAAGCTCCGTATGCCACATCAAAACATGGAATTATTGGTCTTACAAAGGCAAGATTTAAACACATTGAGAGGCGATTTCAATTGGGATTTGAGGCAAATGTCGACATTTTATAAGGAAAACATCTTTTTGTTGTCGATAATTCCCTTCAACCTGTTGAAGTCTTGTTCTACCGAATACACTACCAATTTGTTGTTTAGGCGTGATTTATGTGGTGATTACTTTCCATGTAACTGTTTGTTATTGTTTTGATTGTAAAGTATAACCGCAGTGTCGCTATATGTGTCTTACAAGATTCTTTATTATTAAATCGTCTCACCATCTAAGATCCTATACGTGACTTTTATCATTTAAATTTGAAATCGATAGTTTAGCATATTCATTCGAAATCAGACAAAATAAGACCGGCAAGATTTATATTGGTTAAATGTAATGTAGACCTAAGAGATAGGATCAGTTTTTCCTTTATTTGCTTCACTGACAGAGTAATAGAAACTTACGTTTCAATCCAACTTCTCTCAATTCTAATTTGGAATGCCTTTCTTTTACATATTTTAAATAAATGCGCTAAAATTTATCAAATATATCAAATTTTTGGTTAAGAGCAATCGTTAGACATTTGTAATGTGTTCAGGTGTTGATATAGAATCTGATACTGCATACACGGAGCATGTGTCCTACAGATAAATGTCCACCAACCATCGCACTATCTCCCAATACAGGTCAAGACGCAGATGTCTGACCACCGCACTATCTCCGATGCAGGTCACATCAATGTCTAACAACCGCACTATCTCCCAATACAGAATAGGTCAAGACGCAGATGTCTAACCACCGCACTATCTCCGATGCAGGTCACATAAATGTCTAACCACCGCACTATCTCCGATACAGGTCTCATAAATGTCTAACCACCGCACTATCTCCAATACAGGTAACTTAAGTGTCTTACCATCGCACTATCTCCCATTCAGGTCACGTAAATATCTTACCAACGCACTATCTCTAATACAGGTAACTTAAATGTCTAACCACCGCATTATCTCCAATATAGGTCACGTTAATTTCTAACCAACGCACTATCCCACATACAGGTCTCATAAATGTCTAACCACCTCACTATCTCCCATACAGGTAACTTAAATGTCTAACCACCGCATTATATATAATACAGGTCACATAAATGTTTAACCATCAATTTTTTCCCATACAGGTAACATTTTATACTTATTGACTGGGTATGAGTGGAATAGTAAGTTTATTGTCCCCGAGGTGCAACTATTGCCCTGAGGCGTAGCCGAGGGCAATAGTTGTATCCGAGGGGACAATAAACTTACTATTTCACGAATATCCAGTCAGTAAGTGTTTTATTATACCGAAAGAGACAACAGACAATAAATGTCGGGCTAAATCAACTATCGTAATATAAAAAAGCAGAAACACAACCATACTGTTTTTAACGTTACTTAATATATGTATTGCATGCTAAGGCTACGTCCTGTACAGACGTCAACCCTATATACAATAGGTAAAATGCGACGTCGCAACTCCCGCGGCATTCTCAACATCCTCCAATCCCGTAGCTGCATTTGAAATTCCGCGTCACATAAATGTCTAAGCACCGTCCTATCTCCAATACAGGTCACATACATGTTTACAACCATCACACTATCGGAAATACAGATAAAGATGCAAATATCTAAATACGATACTTTCTCCAATACAGGTCACATAAATGTCTAACCATATATATATACCGCATTTTCTCCGATGCAGGTCAAGACGCAAATCTCGGGTACTTTTGAAAAAGTTATTCTTATTAAGCATGGTCATTTGAGGAAGAAGACGACACGACTTCACGATTGTGAATTACTTTTGAAATAATTTTAAACATATATGTTGATTTTAATTGACCTCTCGTTGTTTCTTCACAGGGCGTAGCTCTTGAGGTAGCGGCTCAGGGTATAACAGTGAATGCTATCAGTCCAGCTTGGGTTGACACTCCATGTAAGTTCAACTAAAGTTAATAACTATCTATGTTCCTCCGAGCACTAAGAACTGGATATATCAAAATAGTTATGTTATTATCCTAACCCTATAAGTTATTATTCGCAGTAAAAGAAGTACTAAAAAATAATCGACTGTCACATAAAGAAACCATTTAGATCTGTAATCTTATGGTCTCGGAATGTGTAAACCGAGTTGAAAGAAAGTAATATATAAAAGCTGTGCTGTTACTGTCACACTGAGCGTTTTCTGTTACTGTCACACTGAGTGTTTTCTGTTACTGTCACACTGAGTGTTTTCTGTTACTGTCACACTGAGTGTTTTCTGTTACTGTCACACTGAGTGTTTTCACAGCTACATAATACTAATGTAGAAACTAACATGTCAAAGTAGTTTTATACTGCCACAGAGAAAGTATAAGAGCTATATTTAATGTGTTACAGAGATTTCATCAGTGCCATATTAGACTATTACAAAGAGTATGTCAGAGTTGTATTTGTACTGTCACAGAGAATGCGTCATATATAGAAATAAGAAGATGTGGTATGAGTGCCAATGAGACAACTCTCCATCCAAGTCACAATGTGTAAAAAGTAAACAATTACAGGTCAAAGTACGGCCTTCAACACGGAGCCTTGGCTCACACCGAACAGCAAGCTATAAAGGGCCCCTACAGGACTAGTGTAAAACAATTCAAACAGAAAAACCAACGGTATAATCTATATAAAAAACGAGAACAGGAAACACTTAAGAACCACATTAACAAACGACAACCACTGAAACAGGTTCCTGACTTAGGACATGTGCAAACAAATGCAACGTGTTTCAACGTTTTAACAGGCGCCAACCTTCACCCTAACCTGAAATAGTAGTGCAACATTACAACATAGAAAGACACACTATACAATATCAATTGAAATGGCTTAACTCAATCAAAAAGACATATTAACAAAAACAAGTAAACATACGCTGAACGAATAAATTTGATCTATGACCCAATGTCAAAAAGACAACTATAACCTTGGACAAAATGGCGTTAAATAAAATAACGTACACAGGTAAATTAAAACAGTCAAAGAAGACATGACTTGTGCATTGCCAAAATAAAAGTATCGACAGGCAGTAGAATAGTTTGGATTTAACCTTATAATAAATATGTATAATGTTATATATAGATAAAGCAATCTCTATATAGAAAATGAATGTGGATGTGTAATTTTACATCCAAAAAACATTTGAAAAGAATACAAATTTAGTTGATGACAAAATCGATATTTGTGCCAATGTAAACAATAATCAAAGATCTTATAACAACATTAATAAGATAACCTTTACTAATAAGTTTGTTTAAAGGTTCGATGAGTTTACACGGATAACATAGCGATTTCCGCGCTTTTAGTACAATATTACCGTAAAATTTAGGATGTGAAATACCGTTTTTAATAAGTTTTCTACAGTTACAGCCAAATTCACTAATCAAATCTGTGTATCTATGAAAGAATTTAGTAAAAAGTTTAAGTTATTTATGGTAACGAAATCCCTGACTTATAATTTACCAGTGATGCATTGATTGCGTTCGTTAAAATCTATGACATCACTACACACACGGGCATAACGAACGAGTTGGGATATATAAACACCGTATGCTGGAGCCAAAGGAACATCGCCTTCAAAAAAAGGAAAATTAACAATAGGGAATGAAAAATCATCTCTTTTGTCGTAAATTTTAGTATGGCGTTTCCCTTCAGAAATTGAAATGTCTAAATCTTGAAAAGGACAACTACTGCTGTTTATGTTAGATTTATTTAAAGTAAGTTCCTTTGGGTAAATTTCGGTAGTATATTTAGAGGACTCTGGATTATTTAACGAAAAAATATCATCAAGATAACGGTAGGTATTGTTGAATGTTTCAACAAAATGACGTGTCTTTGGTCATAAACTGAGATTCATAGCAGGAATAAATCTGCTACTAGTATTAAAGGGGCGCCATTGGTGCCCATAGGAATACCTACTACCTGTCGATACACTTTATCGCCGAAACGTACATATATCTATATTATACTGTTGCAGAGATTTTGTCAGCTGTGACACATTTTTGGTCAGAGCTATATTAGACCGTTAATGAAACTAATATGTCGTAATACAGTCACATAAAATGTACCAGAGCTGTCTTTTATAAAAGGTGTGTCAGAGCTGTGGTGGTTAATAACAAATGCCACATTCGTTTATCTGTAGGTGTTTTTTAACTACATTTAAATTCTCTAATAAAGTTATGTGTATCACAATTATGGTCTTTCGAGTGTTCTTGGCCGTTTAGAGACACATAAGAAGCAGTTTATGCTGCTTACTTCTCTAAAACGCCTGGTTTTCACTCTTGTTTTTATGGACAGATGCAATCTCTTTAAATTTGTTTATCTATCTTCCTTTGGCTGTTGTTTTTGGTGTGTTATGAAGAGGAAAGAGGTGGTCTTATATTATTTCTTCTTTAGTCTGAAATTTTCCGCATTCAGGGTTAATTTCTACCGCTAAATAATTTATTTCTTGTCTTACCTTTTATTTACATGGAGTCTGGAAATAAATTTGGTTTATTTAATTATGTTTTCAGTGGTGCAAGTCCAGTTTGAAAAGTATGCACGTGAAAACAACATTTCAGTAGATAAAACAAAGGTATATCATTTTATAAGATACTAAGAAATAAGTGGAGGTGTTGAATGATAATCAAAGATCTCCAAAGATTTGACCACATTAAAGACTTCATAGAGCGGGAAATGTACTAACGTCTAAGTTAAAAAGTTCTTTTAATATAGTTATCACACAACAACTTGACACTGACAAAATATGTTTGTAAATATTTATTAATGAAAGTCAAAGGAAATAAAATGTTATATTATGATTGGTAACATTGTGTTATGTTTATTACATATGTTGCAGACTTAGAATATACCATTTGTTATACATTATGTACATATAAAACACTGTTTTCAACTAATAGATATAGTCATTTTTAAATTAAGTACAAACTTTGTCTACGGTAGGGGATAATTATGAATCATGAAGGTGCGTTATTTTTGAATTAGAAATGGAGCCGTCATATACGATAACTCATTATTTTTTTAATTATTAGCTTAATTTTAATTAAAACGCAAAACTTAACCATTTCTATTCCTGCATTCAATAGACATGAATCATTAACTGATAAAATATCATTCCTCTGGGATTCATAGTTGTTTACATCAACTGACAAAATATCGTTGCTCTGGGATTTGTAGTTGTTTACATCAACTGACAAAATATCGTTGCTCTGGGATTCTTAGTTGTTTACATCAACTGACAAAATATCGTTGCTCTGGGATTTGTAGTTGTTTACATCAACTGACAAAATATCGTTGCTCTGGGATTTGTAGTTGTTTACATCAACTGACAAAATATCGTTGCTCTGGGATTCGTATTTGTTTACATCAACTAACAAAATATCGTTGCTCTGGGATTCGTAGTTGTTTACATCAACTGACAAAATATAGTTGCTCTGGGATTTGTAGTTGTATCAATCCGTACATTAAAACAAAACTCAACTTGAGCCGCGCATGTGTAAAAATTCAATGAGGATTCTGCTTTGTAATGGCCTTTTGAGTGAATTTGATCAAAATCAGTATTTTATAATTGAGTTTTCTAGTTTACCGATTTTCTATACATTTTTTGTTGTAATTGGTGCACAAAAAAAATCATAGGAAGTTCGCCCTAAAAAGAAGCAATCAGATGACAATGGATATTACTCAAATTTTACCTGGGAAAAACTTCTTTTTCATTTTTTTGAATGAAATTTTTTTGTGGAAATATTCAAAGAACTTGTTTTCTTAAGCTTATCATCTACATGGGCGGATTTACCCCAAATAAATACATGGTTATTCTACTTGTTTTGTGGAAAAAGAGGGACGAAAGATACCAGAGGGAAGGAAGGTTTTTTTTAAATGCCTGTCAGATTCAGGCATTAGATATATTGACTTATTTTTTCAGGCATTTAACAAAACTGAAAGGCGTTTTAGAAAATGTCTGAAATTGTTTTATATAAAGCATTTAAAAAACATACAGAGCCACTGCAAGCATTGAACAACAAAGCAGTTTTATCGATTATAATTACTAAATTTTAACGCTTGCATTTTAAGAGACTAAATAATTGAAAATAAATTCTTCTTAATTATTTAAAATTCCTAGCACTGAACTCGACAATTATTTGCTATTTCATATAATGTTTGGATGGCAGGACCAGTCATACATTTGTCTTATTTTTTTTTGCAAATACATTGTTTGTCGTCAAATCTGGTCTTGGCACTACAGCAACTTTTGGTGAAACCCGGACCATGACACGTTCAGCTCTGACAATTGTTTTCCTGATAAACACTCAATGTTCGAAAGCATTGGGTTTTGCAAAAGCATACGCATGAATATCTTTTTTTTCATGTGTTCCTAAATGATTAATAGGCACATTTTCATAATTAGGCTTATTTACATCTTTTGGGTTATTAAAGCATTGAAGAGACGCATGCATGGCAGGAGACCTTTATCCTATCTTTGCACCAGGTCTCGTTCTTATGGAATTCAGTTTTTGTTTGTTACCTTGATTAATCTCATCTTTGTCGATTTACACGATTTTAACATTGGTAAATTACCGTCGCCTCAATTCTCTAAATTGTAAAGATCCAAAAATTACCTTCAGGCAGTGACGATGAAGATATTCATATCATTGCATCACAACCAAAGACGGCCTTGTATTGTGAAACCCGTGCTTTGAAGGGAAATACCTTTCGCTGTGCAGGATGTATAAATTCGCATTATTTCTGAATGGGGACATGAAATCTGATGCCTCGTGTAACATTTTTTTTTCTCTGCTTCATATTTTTGTTCTATTATAAGTACAATTTGTACTTCTGTCATCATGACAGTCATATCATGAAATGAGAGAGAGAGAGAGAGAGAGAGAGAGAGCAAATTAAATGTAGTTTCACAAAAACAATATTGAAGATATACAAACTTTCCCAGCTAGTATTTGAAGAACACACTTAAATTTACTGAACCATTGATTATTTTCCTTACAAAATTGTATTTTTGATCATATGCATCTCAATGATATTCTTTTTCAACAAATAACCTGAAACGGTATCTTTAGTCGTTTTATATAATACCCGTTAAGGTCAGACATTTTACAAATTGCTTGAAAATTCATTCATTTAACAAAATGGCTGTAGCAAATATAAGTATGTATAACATTTACAAGACAATAACAATACCTTCGCTTGAATATAACAATACCTTCGCTTGAATATAACAATACCTTCTCTTGAATATAACTATACCTTCGCTTGAATATAACAATACCTTCGCTTGAATACCTTCGCTTGAATATAACAATACCTTCGCTTGAATATAACAATACCTTCGCTTGAATATAACAATACCTTCTCTTGAATATAACAATACCTTCTCTTGATTATAACAATACCTTCGCTTGAATATAACAATACTTTCGCTTGAATATAACAATACCTTCGCTTGAATAGAACAATACCTTCGCTTGAATAGAACAATTGAAAACACAATTAAATGTTACTGAAACACAAATGATGAAACAAACAACAAAGAAAAAAGGGCAGGCTTACAAACGTATAAAATATAAAAAGGTGCAAAAACAAACACAACAGGATAAGAAAACTGACAGACATATCAAACAAAAAAAAACAAAGCTTAAAACTAAAATCATTGGCAAGTCAACACAGTCTCTGGTTAACATCGTACATGGGGAAAGGAGATGAAGTGAAATAATTCAAGATACCGGAAAAAAGCAGTTACTGAAACCTTGAGCACAGGCTCGGTGCGATATTCGTACTGAAACCTTGAGCACAGGCTCGGTGCGATATTCGTACTGAAACCTTGAGCACAGGCTCGGTGCGATATTCGTACTGAAACCTTGAGCACAGGCTCGGTGCGATATTCGTACTGAAACCTTGACCACAGGCTCGGTGCGATATTCGTACTGAAACCTTGAGCACAGGCTCGGTGCGATATTCGTACTGAAACCTTGAGCACAGGCTCGGTGCGATATTCGTACTGAAACCTTGAGCACAGGCTCGGTGCGATATTCGTACTGAAACCTTGAGCACAGGCTCGGTGCGATATTCGTACTGAAACCTTGAGCACAGGCTCGGTGCGATATTCGTACTGAAACCTTGACCACAGGCTCGGTGCGATATTCGTACTGAAACCTTGACCACAGGCTCGGTGCGATATTCGTACTGAAACCTTGACCACAGGCTCGGTGCGATATTCGCTATTCTTTATTAGAGTTACAGTAATTTATCTTAAAGTAAAACATTTAACACGGAGCAAAAAACCTACACCTCGTTGTATGTTCATAATCAATCCTCACAGTGCCTTGTAATAAATGAATTAAACATGTGTTTTGTTAAGGGTCAATTATTTAACATATGCTTAAGTGAAATAGTGCATCAATAATCATTTCAGGAGATATTCCTTGAAAAGACCCAGCCCACTAAGCAAATGATAGACACAGCTCAGGTAAATATCAAAATTTAATGATTATGATGTGTATCAAATGTAGAGATATATAGCTTATCAGGAATAATACGGTTTATCTCATTAATTAGATAAACCAATTCTATGAAAGAAATTTGATATATTCCTATTTTCCATAAATGTAACTTGCATCATTCGGATCCGTTTTTTTTTTTTTTTTTCCCACTAATAACACTCGACACTTTACTCTTACATTGATCTGGCCACCCTTGTTTATTAGTTGAAAGTTTCAGAATCGTCAAAAACCTACGCCAGCAATCTAATTTAAATATAGACCTCTGACAATCTAATTAAAATATAGACCTCTGATTTCATTAGCCTCATTAGACCTCTGATTTTATTATCCTCATTATTATCCTCATTATGAAATCAAAGGTCTATATTCTAATTAGATTGTTACGCCATCGGTATTTCATTAAAATATGAAACCACCGAAAAGACATCGTAATCCTTAAAGAAGGCCATTTACAAAGAAAAATCAATCAATCTGCAAATAAATTTCAATTATCTTTAAATAATTAAAGTCTCCTTTACGGATTAATTCATTTTTATTGCGGATATCCATCGATGTAATATTTTACTAAGACCTGTACAATTTGAAGTACCGATGGAGAGCGTAAACTGGGTTAGTACAGCCAAATCTTGTACTTGCAACAGGTAAAGCTTGGGGAGTTTGTGGTTGGTGTGGTCTATCGTATCTCTTTGTTAATTCTGTAAAGCTTGGGGAGTTTGTGGTTGGTGTGGTCTATCGTACCGCTTTGTTAATTCTGTAAAGCTTGGGGAGTTTGTGGTTAGTGTGGTCTATCGAATCGCTTTGTTAATTCTGGAAAGCTTGGGGAGTTTGTGGTTGGTGTGATCTATCGTATTGCTAAGCTTGAGGAGTTTGTGGTTGGTGTGGTCTATCGTATCACTTTGTTAATTCTGTAAAGCTTGGGGAGTTTGTGGTTGGTGTGGTCTATCGTATTGCTTTGTTAATTCTGTAAAGCTTGGGGAGTTTGTGGTTGGTGTGGTCTATCGATCGTATCGCTAAGCTTGGGGAGTTTGTGGTTGGTGTGGTCTATCATATCACTTTGTTAATTCTGTAAAGCTTGGGGAATTTGTGGTTGGTGTGGTCTATCGTATCGCTAAGCTTGGGGAGTTTGTGGTTGGTGTGGTCTATCGTATCGCTAAGCTTGGGGAGTTTGTGGTTGGTGTGGTCTATCGTATCGCTTTGTTAATTCTGTAAAGCTTGGGGAGTTTGTGGTTGGTGTGGTCTATCGTATCGCTAAGCTTGGGGAGTTTGTGGTTGGTGTGGTTTATCGTACCGCTTTGTTAATTCTGCAAAGCTTGAGGAGTTTGTGGTTGGTGTGGTCTATCGTATCGCTTTGTTAATTCTGTAAAGCTTGGTGAGTTTGTGGTTGGTGTGGTCTATCGTATCGCTAAGCTTGGGGAGTTTGTGGTTGGTGTGGTCTATCGTATCGCTTTGTTAATTCTGTAAAGCTTGGTGAGTTTTTGGTTGATGTGGTCTATCGTATCGCTAAGCTTGGAGAGTTTGTGGTTGGTGTGGTTTATCGTACCGCTTTGTTAATTCTGTAAAGCTTGAGGAGTTTGTGGTTGGTGTGGTCTATCGTATCTCTTTGTTAATTCTGTTAATTTTTTTGTAAATCTGATTAACTGTAAATGTTTTGTAGTCGGTAATAAATGAAAAATATTAGCTCTGGTGATGGGGAAAAAGAGGTAACAGCTAAATATAAGGGTAGGATACTGACGAACGTATATGTATTTCATGTCTTCGCGGAGATATACAGAGTGGACGCCATATTCCATTTTTCAATAATATTCAAATGTATTCATATTGGAGCAGTTCATTGTTTCTTATCAACTTTGATTTTGCATTTTGGTTTTTCTCAGAAAAGTTTTATTTTTCAGCTAGGACAACTGGTTGTGTTTTTATGTTCCTATGGAGGAGCCAGTATGACTGGATCTGTTCTTACTATGGATGGAGGATATACTGCTCAGTAATACTAAAACTGATACATCACCAATGAGTGTTTCGTCCCAGTCACAGCAAAATTATGAAATAAAATACATTTATACATAAGACGATACGATTCTTTGTATTTAAAAAAAAAAAACATATACGTAAAATAATTAGGAAATTCCTATATATGGTGTTAGTAACCACCACAAAACATTAAGCTCATTAAAAGCCCACACCACTATTCCTTCTTACTTAACATGCGACATTCCTCACACCACCACTCATTCTTACTTAACATGTGAAATTCCTCACACCACCACCCATTCTTACTTAACATGTGAAATTCCTCACACCACCACTCATTCTAACTTAACATGTGAAATTCCTCACACCACCACTCATTCTTACTTAACATGTGAAATTCCCCATACCACCACTCATTCTTACTTAACATGCGACATTCCTCACACCACCACTCATTCTTACTTAACATGTGAAATTCCTCACACCACCACTCATTCTTACTTAACATGCGACATTCCTCACACCACCACTCATTCTTACTTAACATGCGACATTCCTCACACCACCACTCATTCTTACTTAACATGCGACATTCCTCACACCACCACTCATTCTTACTTAACATGTGAAATTCCTCACACCACCACTCATTCTTACTTAACATGTGAAATTCCTCACACCACCACTCATTCTTACTTAACATGTGAAATTCCTCACACCACCACTCATTCTTACTTAACATGTGAAATTCCTCACACCACCACTCATTCTTACTTAACATGTGAAATTCCTCACACCAACACTCATTCTTACTTAACATGCGACATTCCCCACACCACCACTCATTTTTACTTAACATGCGAAATTCTCCTTACTATCGCATTAGTGTTTTCATTTCAAGTTACTATTTTTTGTTGACGTACTTAATTTAGAGAATTTTCGATAAATATTGTTATGACGAACAAAATGATCTACTTTGGTAAATTGAATCATTCCAAACATTGTCTTAGTATGTGAGTAGATTATCATGAGAACATAAGACCATGAATAGATATCAGCAAGTTTGAGCTAGTAACTGCTAGCATTATTTGACACAGTATTATTTACATTAATTTACTAATACCTGTGTTTTTTTGTCTATTATACCAGTAGACTTATCATTGATTTACTTATACCTTTGGATTTGTTGTCTATTACACCGGTTGATTTATCGTTAATTTACTTATACCTGTGTTTTTGTTGCCTATCATACCGGTTGATTTATCGTTAATTTACTTATATCTGTGTTTTTGTTGCCTATTTTACCGTCTTGTGTGGACGAAACGCGCGTCTTGCGTATCTGTCCTACATGTTCTCCCATTTATTTGTATTGTAGTCTTGTCATGTAATGTTGTCATTTTAATGTTATATTTAACATTGCCATAAAAGGGGGAGGTTTGGCTAGCCACAAAACCAGGTTCAACCCACCATTTTTTTCTTAAAAATGTCCTGTACCAATTCAGGAAAATGGCAATTGTTATCGTATAGTTTGTTTCTGCGTGTGTTGCATTGTCGTTTGTTGTTTGTTCATTTCAGTGTTTCTGTTGTTTCGTTGTCCAAATGTACTATATTGTATTGTTTAATTGCGTAATTCTCTGTCCGTAATGTTGTACTGTATTCATGTCATGTAATGGTGTCATTTTAGTGTTATATTTAACATTGCCATAAAAGTGCGAGGTTTGGCTAGCCACAAAACCAGGTTCAACCCACCATTTTTTTCTTAAAATGTCCTGTACCAAGTCAAGAAAATGACCATCCTTATATTATAGTTCGTTTCTGTGTGTGTTACATTTTAATGTTGTGTTTTGTCGTAGTTCTCCTCTTATATTTAATGTGTTTCCCTCAGTTTTAGTTTGTAACCCGGATTGGTTTTTTCTCAATCGATTTATGAATTTCGAACAGCGGTATACTACTGTTGCCTTTATTTATCGTTTAACCTGTGTTTTTGTTGCCTATTATACTGTTGGATTTATCGTTGATTTACTCGTACCTGTGTTTTTGTTGTCTATCATACCGTCTGATTTATCGTTAATTTACTTATACCTGTGTTTTGTTGCCTATAATATACCGGCTGATTTATCGTTGATTTACTTATACCTGTGTTTTTGTTGCCTATTATACTGGTTGATTTATCGTTGATTTACTCATACCTGTGTTTTTGTTGTCTATCATACCGTCTGATTTATCGTTAATTTACTTGTACCTGTGTTCTGTTTGTTATTTTCCGGGAAATATATTGTTGATTTACTTAAACCTGTGTTTCTGTTGTCTAATATATCGGTTGATTTATTGCGTCGCTGGGGGTTGCTATCTCATTGATGTACACCAAACATCTTCTTTTCTTCGTTTTCAAACGACGTCACACGGTTCAGTGGAACAGTAAATTTTAAAACTCACAGCATCAATTTTATATGACATTGTAATCAAAGCAATCAACAGCGTGACAGTCTGATATTAATTATCCACAAAGCAGTCATCCGGAATCGTATTTAATGTTTTTTCAGTCATTTCAATACATAATTTGGTATATGAATAATTTGCAAGCTAATTTATGTTTAAAGAATAGATAGTCTGTATACAATATACAAATTAACAGAAGATCTAGAGATAACTAATACTTTAGAACTAGAGAAATGATACAGCAAATACAAGAAAAGGCATAAAACACTCATCGTAATACGGAAACATCTCCAATCTGTTCTTTGCTATTAATAAACTAACTTTCCAAAGTTTTGAATTAAAGGAACAACAAGGTTCGCTTGGTGCAAACCGTATACGACGTAAGAACAGACAACCCCATCATCAACAGATAAGAACTATAGATCTGGGGAAAAGCAGTTAGCTCCGTCATTTACAAATACGAGTTATAGATCGAGGAAAAGGCAGATATCTCCATTATCAATAGATTAAATTAAAGGAACCACAAGGTTCGTCTGGTACAAATCGAGGGACTGAATTATTCGGGTTACATCAATAGATACAAAATATAGATCGGAGTAAAGGCAGATAACTCTATTATCAACATATACAAGATATTGATCGAGGTAACGGCAGATAACTCCATTATCAACATATACAAGATATTGATCGAGGTAACAGCAGAAAACCCGATCATTAACAAATACGAACTATTATAGATCGAGGTAACGGAAGAAAACCCCATCATTAACAAATACGAACTATTATAGATCGAGGTAACGGCAGAATACCCCATCATTAACAAATACGAACTATTATAGATCGAGGTAACGGCAGAATACCCCATCATTAACAAATACGAACTGTTATAGATCGAGATAACGGAAGAAAACCCCATCATTAACAAATACGAACTAATATAGATCGAGGTAACGGCAGAATACCCCATCATTAACAAATACGAACTATTATAGATCGAGGTAACGGCAGAAAACCCCATCATTAACGAATACGAACTATTATAGATCGAGGTAACGGCAGAAAACCCCATCATTAACAAATACGAACTGTTATAGATCGAGGTAACGGCAGAATACCCCATCATTAACAAATACGAACTGTTATAGATCGAGGTAACGGCAGAATACCCCATCATTAACAAATACGAACTGTTATAGATCGAGGTAACGGCAGAATACCCCATCATTAACAAATACGAACTATTATAGATCGAGGTAACGGCAGAATATCCCATCATTAACAAATACGAACTATTATAGATCGAGGTAACGGCAGAATACCCCATCATTAACAAATACGAACTATTATAGATCGAGGTAACGGCAGAATACCCTATCAGTAACGGCAGAAAACCCGATCATTAACAAATACGAACTGTTATAGATCGAGGTAACGGCAGAAAACCCCACCATTAACAAATACGAACTGTTATAGATCGAGGTAACGGCAGAAAACCCCACCATTAACAATTACGAACTGTTATAGATCGAGGTAACGGCAAAATACCCCACCATTAACAAATACGAACTGTTATAGATCGAGGTAACGGCAGAATACCCCACCATTAACAAATACGAACTGTTATAGATCGAGGTAACGGCAGAATACCCCACCATTAACAAATACGAACTGTTATAGATCGAGGTAACGGCAGAATACCCCACCATTAACAAATACGAACTGTTATAGATCGAGGTAACGGCAGAAAACCCCATCATTAACAAATACAAACTGTTATAGATCGAGGTAACGGCAGAATACCCCATCATTAACAAATACGAACTGTTATAGATCGAAGTAACGGAAGAATACCCCATCATTAACAAATACGAACTGTTATAGATCGAGGTAACGGCAGAAAACCCGATCATTAACAAATACGAACTGTTATAGATCGAGGTAACGGCAGAAAACCCGATCATTAACAAATACGAACTGTTATAGATCGAGGTTATAGATCGAGGAAACGGCAGAATACCCCATCATTAACAAATACGAACTATTATAGATCGAGGTAACGGCAGAATACCCCATCATTAACAAATACGAACTGTTATAGATCGAGGTAACAGCAGAATACCCCCTCATTAACAAATACGAACTGTTATAGATCGAGGTAACGGCAGAATACCCCATCATTAACAAATACGAACTGTTATAGATCGAGGTAACGGCAGAATACCCCATCATTAACAAATACGAACTGTTATAGATCGAGGTATCGGCAGAATATCCCATCATTAACAAATACGAACTATTATAGATCGAAGTAACGGCAGAATACCCGATCATTAACAAATACGAACTGTTATAGATTGAGGTAACGGCAGAAAACCCGATCATTAACAAATACGAACTGTTATAGATCGAGGTAACGGCAGAAAACCCGATCATTAACAAATACGAACTGTTATAGATCGAGGTTACGGCAGAAAACCCGATCATTAACAAATACGAACTGTTATAGATCGAGGTAACGGCAGAAAACCCGATCATTAACAAATACGAACTGTTATAGATCGAGGTAACGGCAGAAAACCCGATCATTAACAAATACGAACTGTTATAGATCGAGGTTATAGATCGAGGAAACGGCAGAATACCCCATCATTAACAAATACGA